TGGGACTAGGAGATGCTGAAGTTGGGCTACTGGCTGGGGCAATGGTAATGGCAGGATTTGTGGAAACAGAACCCAATGATGGTGTGGTGGCTTCAGAGGTGGTAGGCTCAGAGGAGGATTCAGTGGCAACTGATACAGAGATAACTGGGGTAGCTGCCATAGCATTGGAAGTGGAAGAAAGCGTAGGGACAGGAGTCGGAAGAAGCACATCAGGCATAAGGTGCTGGGACAAAGACCCCTCTGCCGTGTTAAGTGTGGTGGTAAACAATTCAGGAAAGCTTTGCTCGGCTATCACGGCATCAAGGCTGGTGAGAAGCTCAAGCAAGGATTCTGAATCGGTTGTGACAGGAGTGGAAGAGGTGGGCAGATCAAGCCAAGGCCTTGTGGAAGTAATATCAGAAATAATACTGGGAAGTTTAGGAACGGTTCCAGTGGTAGCCTCGGGAACGGTTAGGATGCTTTCTGTTGCTGTTGTGGGAGTGTTTGATCCAGAGATGAGAGGTGGAGGAGATGTCATGGTAGGGAGAGTGGTAGGGAAGTGGTTGGTGAGTGGCATCTCTTGTAGAGTAGATGATGACTCAATATTTTCAAGTTCTTGATTGGTGTTTTGCGATGTTTCACTGATCTCATCTGGACACTGAATCCGCTACACAGGGGAAATAATGCAAAGCAGAAGTCACACCTTTGGGTTGTTATGATTTTTCTAAGCTATCATTGCTCTCATTTTCTTCTGCATGAGAGAAGACTGTGCTGTGACATCTCTAGCGGGTTTCTAAAGTGCTTTGTCCAGAAATGTCAAGTACTTCTGATTGTGCTATTTCTTCACTCCCAAGCGGTCAAGCATTTCCCATCCTCCACTCCATGAGGCAAACTATTCAAACTGATTCAGGTCCCCACCTGTTTCCTACAACAACTAAAAGGCAGGAACTCTCACAAGGTACCCTTTATGTCATATGAGGATCCAGTGATGGAGGATGACAGAACTACACAGCTTTTCAAAATGGAAGACTTCTTCCCAAGAATAAAATGGGGAGTCTGGAAGAGTCCTCAAGGGGATGACCAAGACAGGTTGAGGCTTGCAGTACTTTGCATTGATCTTTTTTTCCTTAATATTTTGTAAAAACGTTTTCCTGCTTTTTGGAACCAAATTAGGTACGGTAATAATCTCATTAGTCTTTGTGCAATATAATATTTGAAAGAAGACAGTAATGTGTCTCAAGAGGAAAACTTCTATTAGTGCCAATAAAAGCTTTTCTTCCAATGCAAACTGCAAATGCAGGACAACTGGTCGATGTGTATGTGCGGGTACACACACACACACTCACACACTCACACACACACGTAAGATCATAACAACAGATTAAGGAAAGCTGCTACTAATTTTTCTGAAACTGATGCCAAAGTGAATGCCATAAACAATTTCACCTCTAGCATTCCCCTTAATGGCATGTCAAGGCTTATCCTCAGATTGCTATCTTGCTTCACTTAACGATATGGCTGATCTGACCCTTTGCTTGTCCGTCCTTCCCTTATTTCTTCCCTTCTCTCTCAGACAAAAATACCGCACAGATTTCCCTAAACCCTTGTCATTCATAAAGCTGCTTTGCCCTTGGTAATAAATGGGGACTTGGATTCGTTCCCCATGAGCAGAACGTGATGCTTATGCATAGCATGGAGAGAATCACCTTGGAAGCCAGTGATGCAGAAACTGTCATCTCCTCCTGACTGCAAATGTGATGATGCCGGGTGGAAACACTGCCGTACACCCTATATTCTGTAGGCATTAAGTTATAAGCTTGGTTTCTGACATTTTTCAAGAGGACCTTAGAGAACAAGTGTCAAACGCGCCGCGTCACATTGCCGTAACATGACATATTCCCTTTGTGGAGCTGGGGTGAATGTGGCCTGTGTGTGACACATCTGGCCCGCGGGCCGCCAGTTTGACACCCCTGATAGAGACAGCTTCTCCACATTGGTGATTCCAAGGAAGAGAGAGTACAATGGCCAGTGATGATGCTGGTCCAGAATTCTGAAACATAAGGACCCCTACTCATGTAAAGGTAAAGGAGCCCCTGCAGATTTAACTCCGCTAGTTGTAACCCACTATATAGGGGGTGGTATTCATCTCTGTTTCAAGGTCGCTGAGCCTGTGCTGTCCGAAGACATTTCCTCGGTCATGTGACCAGCATGACATCACGGAGCATGGTTATCTTCCCACCGAAGTGGTATCTATTTATCTACTTGCATTTGCAGGCTTTCGAACTGCTAGGTTGGCAAGAGCTGGGACAAGGATAGGAGCTCACCCCATCACATAGTGCTCAGGTCTCAAATGTGGGCTGCCCAGCATTTTTTTTTTTTTTTTTTAAAACAAGTTTTATTAAAAGTTTCAACAACAAACAAATCATTACATATTAAATCTTTCCGTCTTTCTACAATAATTTCCCCAATATTCTCATAAAACACAAACAAACACAAACAAACATAAAAAAATCTTTTAGTAAAGTACCTTGGCCCCAGTTACCTCTCTTTGCATGGGCTAAAATAATAGCACATATCACTCTTCACATTTCTATCTTATTTAATCCATCTTAATTAAATCATTAAATTTGTATCTTTTGCCCATTCATTTATCTCTCTATCTCTTCTTATAATAAAAAAAAATTTCTCCTGAAATCACTAATCAGAGTATGATGCCTTTCTATCCTCCCCCTAAGTTAGTAAAATTAACATTCAGCATAACAAATACCCAATTTGGTTCTGCTTGGTACATTCTATCCACCAAAAATGTTTAAATACATTGTATCCTCCTTTCCTTCGATATTTTATTACATTTTAAAAATCAATCATTATTAAAAACTTCAACATTTTAATTTCTTATTAAATCTTAAACCATTCTAATTTACTATTTCAAATATAAATGTTACAATACCATCTTCTGTACCTTAGCAGAATCTTTCTTACAGAAAATTATATTTCATCCTTTGTCTCTAAAAAAAATCCCTCTTCTCCCATCCAATTTTAAAGCTTTGAGGCTTTTCTCCGCCTTTCCCCTTTCTTTCTTCCCCCACCAAATCTTCCTACCCCCCCTTCTTCTTCTAACCTCTACCTTGCTGGGATCCCTTCTCTGTTGTGTTCCCTTTTTCTCTTGTTTGTTATCATTATATTTACTTTGAATCATATTTTTCTCTTTCTCAAATGTTTTTTTAGATCTTAAGTCCTTCATTTTCCTTGCTCTCTTCCTTCCTTCTTCCTTAGATAAGTTTTGGGATTCAATGAAGATGGCGTCTTCGTCTCTTCCTTGTTGTTCTTCTTCCGTTTCCATCTGTTCCATTGTCTGTTGGTAATTGACCAGCGCCATTTCTAGAAATAGAAAAGCTTTTTCCATGCCATCTTTGCAGGTTGCTTTTGTTTGCTCATATTCATCCCTCAGGTCTTCAAAAAGGAAAGCCATTATAAATAAATCTTTTCTTTTCTTTATTCCTCTTTCTTCTTACACCAACCAAATATTCCGAGAGAAAGGCAAAACAATCCCAAAATCCACAATCCTCAATAAATCCAAGCAAGCCAAAATTCCCCCTTCCTCTTCCAGGGGTGGTATCAAACAAATAAAAAAAAAAAAGAATCCAAGTCTATATTTTAAAGCCTTATTAAGATTGTATTTCTGTCCTCAAGTCTTCAAGGCATCTCCTCCAACAAGATCCAAATTTATATATTTTCTTTATCCTCTCCCTTCCGGCTTAATTCCGTCGGGAGGGAGAGTAAACTTTCCCTTCAGCACCTCAAAATAGCCGCTTTTTTTTTCTCTTGTGGAAGAAATCATCAGAAAACCATCTTTTCCAGGAATTAAATTAGATAAATCTCAAAGCCCTGGGTCGACCAAGAAGAACTTTTACTTTCAATAACTTTCTCTTCTTCCTCCTGCGCATACTTGCCCGGCTGTCAACTTCTTTGTGGCGGCCATTACGGACCGCCGCTGCACCGTCCTGGTAACAGGGGGTTCTGCCGGCCAGGGAGGGGGTCTGCAACACCCCCAAACCCTTCCTCCGGATCCCCCTTACCTTCAGCTACCCCTGCAGGGCAGCCTTGCTCCGCACCCGTCCGGGTCGGAGCCCCAAAACGGCTAGCGCGGCAGGGATCGCGCAGCTTCGCGAATCCCTACCGCTCGCGAAGCCGACAAACCGGAAAACCTCCGGGCTGCCCAGCATTTTAACCACTGAGCCACCATGCTGCCCTCCCTACTCATGTGGAGGGTGGACTAGGTACCCTCCCAAATATATGGTTTTTGACTACAGAAAGGTCAGTGCTGAGAATTCTGGGAAGTGGAGTCCATGTGTCCAGAGTGACTGTAATAGTATGTGAGAATGATCTTGGGAGAAAGAAAAAGAGCCATAGCAGGGGATCAGTTGGGTAAAAGACAAATAGTCCTCAACAAGAATACAGGAGGATCCTTTCCTAGTTTCTTGGGCTGTAAAGATGATGTGGGAGAAATGCACATTCAGACTCTCAAAATTCTTCTAATGTAACCTTACACTAAAGTAGAAACAGTTTATTTAGGTGTGCTTGTCTGGACTACCTCACAACGCTGAAAATGATCCAAATAACATTGAATCAGAGTAAACAGATATGAGTGAAACCATGTTCTATATTCCTGTTATAATATTCCTGTATTTTTAGGAGTATAAGACACACGTTTTCCATCCCCAAAAGTGGGTGGAAATGTCTGTGCGTCTTATACAGCGAAAGTTGCCGAAGCCCCACCCACCCACTGGCCCCCACCCTTTGGCCTCTGCCTCCCAGCAATTTGCCTCCTGGCAGCAAACAGCAAACAACCTGTTTCAGCTTCAGCACAGCCTGATAAGCACAAGCAGCTGATTGTCGGTTGGATCCTTTCTGGATCCAACCGACCGATTGCCATTGCCTATTGCCGCCTCTGCATGCCTCATTTTTGGCCTGCGCATCCCATTTTTGGCCTCTGTGCGCCCCATTTCGGCCTCTGCATGCCCCATTTTCTTCCCATTCCGATCCCTGCTGCCTGGAACGGGCTGAAAATGGGGCACGCGGAGGTGGCAATAGGCAATGGCAATCCCTGCAGATTGAAACAGCTGATCGTTGGGAGGCCGACCCAACCGACAGTCAGCTGCTTGTGCTGGATACAGATGGCTGAGGTCTCAGTTTAAATAACTCTACTACTCACCTACATAGCTAGCCTGACCCTCTTGGAAGCAAAGTAAATACAATGCAGTGAAAATCATATTTACTCAATGAGCAAATATTCTCAATGAGACCTAGCTGCTTTCATTCCCTTTTCTATTGCTATTCCTGTGCTTATGACTGTCTTTTGTCTTCAGTGAACCTTTCAGCCCATTCTCTTTCTAACACTAAAAGTGCTGTCCAAACAGATTGCTGGGAAAGAAATGCCTCAGATCAATAAGCAATGTCTTCTTCCTTTTCCTTACCTTCACAAAATACTTCTTCAAGGTGCAGCGATAAAAAGTGAGGGTGCAGAAATCAGGAAAGCTGGGCATTTCTGCCAAGTCGGAACAAACCCTCCCTAAGAGAGAAGTGGAGGGTTAGAGAAAAATCGCCAAGGCCTTCGGGTTACTTCCATTAATTTTCATTGAGATCCAGTGTGTCCCATATTGCTATTATCATCACTGTTGTGCCATTATAACCTCTGCCAGCTTTCGAGAATTCAAATGAGTGGGCTTTGGTCTCCCTCCAAATGGGTTACCAAACATTGCAGCAATTCTTTGAAGTCCTGTCAGGTTGGAACTTTTAACATCTGCCACTGGCTACTTCGAACTGTGAAAAATTGTGTTGGAGGGGCACTTATTCAGATATTTTGGAAAGAAGCCATTGGAAAAGTTTTGGCAATTTATAACATTTGATTTTTTTTTATTTTTAGAAACACAGCAGAGGAACACATTCCCCCCCCCCCCCAAATTAGCTTGATCCCATAGGGTTCTCTTTACTTTTGTTTAGGTGAGGCCTAATCATAACCTATATTCAGAGGTGGGCTTCAAAAATTTTAGCAAAGGGTTCTCTGCCTGGTTGCTGGGTGAGCGTGGCCATGGTGGGTGTGGCCTAGTCGGCCTCCTGCACCACGGCGGGGGGGGCATTTTTACCCTCCCTGGACTGCGGAGGCTTCCCTGGAGCCTCTGGGAGGGCGAAAATGGCCTCCCAGGGCTGCGGAGGCTCTCTGGAAGCCAGAAATGGGCCCATTTCTGGTCTTCACGAACTTCCATGGGGCCTGTTTTTTTGCCCTCCCCGAGCCTCCATTCGCGCCCTACACTTACCTGCATCCAAAACAGGCCGTGTGGGGACTTCTGGGAGAGGTGGAGTGGGCGGGGCCAGCCAGGAGTGGGATTTGGGGGTTCTCCGAACTACACAGAATCTTAGCTAGGGGCTCTCCCGAACCCCTGCGAACCCCCAACAGCCCACCTCTGCCTATATTTTATTTAATTAGAATTTCAATAAACATACAATAATTAATACAGTTATGAATGAGGGTGTTTACTCTTAACAATCTTGTACTTTCCCGTTCTGACACTTTATATTTCTTAGAAATTATATGTATGAGGCTTGGGAGCCCCAAATCTTAGAATTTCAGAGGGCATCACACCCTGGTGGTATTTTCATGGAGTCCACCACACTGTTCTATAACAGTTTTATCTTGATCCCAGTAAAGTTCACATTTTGGACAGGGAAGATCAATGGTTTGAGGGAGGAGTGAAAGAATCCATTTATGCCAAAGTGGGAAATCCTTCCCTTAATACAGGCAAGTCTTCAATTTACAACAATTCATTTCGTGACTGTTTGAAGTTACAACAGCATTGAAAAAAATAACTTATGACCATTTTTCATGCTTACAACTGTTGTAGCATCCCCATGGTCATGTGATCAAAATTCAGATGCTTGGCAACTGACTCATATTTATGACGGTTGCAGTGTCCTCTCTGTCCCGTGTGGTCCACATGTCATCCCTCCCTCCCTCCCTCCCTCCCTCTCTCCCTCCCCCCCCTCTCTCTATCTATCTATCTCTATCACTCAAATCTCTCGTTTTAGAGGCACATTGAAAATCTCTATAGGTGGTCCAGGATTTATGATCACAGTTGGGACTGGAACATCCATTGCTGAGGTTCTAAAGAGAGTCTTCACATGACCGTATTCAATTTTATAACCTTTTTTGCCATGGTTGCAAAGTAAATCCAGTTTCCTCCATTCACTTCGCTGCTTGGAAGCCCAGCTGGGTAGGTTGCAAGAAATATGACCTGGGACACTGCCTCCTTTGTATTTAAATACATGCTGGTTGCCCACTGCCCAAATCATGATCACATGACCACAGGGATGCTGCAACGGTTGTAAGTGTGAGGACGCTTCAAAAATCTCTTTTTTCAGTGTTGTAACTTTAAAGGTCACTAAATGAATGGTTATAAATCGAGGACATCCTGTAATTTGCATTTTCTTATCTCCAATACCAAGGAATGAATATGAACAAATTCACACACACACACACACACACACACCTTTATATAAATGATTTAGGGATTGAGATAATATTCAATAAATCAGTTCTGAGAAGAAACACGAACGTATATGAGTTGCCTTGAACAGGGATTGGAAACTAGCTTTTATCTTATTGACTATATATATCAAGGGTCTTCAAACTTGGCAAGTTTAAGACTTGTGGAGTTCAACTCCCAGAATTCCTGAGCTAACATGACCGGAGGAGGAATTCTGGGAGTTGAAGGCCACAAGTCTTAAAGCTGTCAAGTTTGAAGACCCCTGATATATATCAATGGGAGTAATAGCAGGAAGAATCTACTAAATGCCTTTGGCAAAAAATTATTTTAATTGCCTTGTAAAGAGAGCCACGGGCTTGCTTGAATGTGAGTATGGCTTTCCAAATTGAGCTTTAAAAGAGGAATAAGAACAATACTATGTAGACTTTACCTTCTGGGACGATTCCATGGTTTTCATACAAGTCTAAAGTCTGGACCAAGGCATTCTGGCAGCCATACATGGATCTCAAGAAGCAAACTGCACTGACTCGGTGTGGACTGTTCAGTGTTTTGAAGAAATGGTCGTATTCGGCATCTGAGAGTGGCATGCCAGCTAGCGATGGATCTTGTATCTGTATGTCTGTTGCAAGAAGCCATTTTGAGAGCGCTGCGTAGAGGAAACAAGAACAAGAATGTGATTGTTTCCAAAAAGGGTCTATGACAACCCGCCACAGGACAAGGGTTACAGTAATATCAAAGAAATAGTGGAATAGAATCATTGAAGAAAGGATGCAAACAGAGGGACAGAATGAAATGTAAACGGCACTACTTAAAATAAGTTTCTATTTATTTTAAAGAATTAAATAGAATGGCTAAATTGTCCCACAGCCAGTAGTCCTGTGGCGAGTTGGCCATGGTGAATTGGCTGTGGCGAGTTGGCTGCAGGGAGTTGGCTGTGGCAAGCTGTCCCATTCTTTTCCAAAAAGGCATACACACTGTGAGTAAAGAGATTTTGTTCTACATGGGTTTAGGTTAATCCATTGTGCTTAGCTGCCAAGAACCAATCTTCTCTCTGCATAATGTGCTGAAATGTTACTCTGGCCCTGGAAATGGGATGAATTAAGTTTCGTTTCTTTTCTGAATGGGAAAGAAAAAAGCACGAGAAAAAAAAACCCTCAGAATAACCCTGCCTTGATTTGGTTTAAGATGTGATAGTGAGAAATTGATTCTGTTATATAATACCGTACAACTTTGAAGACCATTCCTAAATTCACTGCTGTTTCTCTTGACTTTGCCTACCTCGAAAGACGAACACTTGCTTGGAAATAAATATTTCCGGACTGTAGGAGTCTAAGAACAGCATTTATTCCAGAAAGCGATGAAACTGGGAAGATGGGCACAATACAGGTAGTCCTTGACTTACAATCACAATTGAAGTCCCAAATTTCTATTGCTAAGTGACACAGTTCTGAATTTTGCCTCATTTTATGACATTTTGAGAAGACACTAAACGAAGCGTTGTAAGTCGAGGACTACCTGTATATCCATTTGGCTATTCCTCTCCTTCCCCATTCACAGAGCTGTTGTATCAAGAGTTCCCAAAGACCAGTTTGTTTCTTTTTCTAGTATTGTTTGTTATAATAAAGACTGTGTAATTTGAAGGATTGGTACTTGATTTTGTTTTCTTTTTTCCTCCTCATCCTCTCTTCATTTATATATATAAATGAGGACCTGTATACTGCATGAGTTAAAAAGCGGGCTGTGAAAATAGTTACAGACCCCTCATACCCTGGACATCAATTGTTTCAACTCCTACCCTCAAAACGATGCTACAGAGTACTGAACATCAGAACAACTAGACACAAGAATAGTTTTTTCCCAAATGCCATCACTCTGCTAAACAAATAATTCCTTCAACACTGTCAAACTATTTACTAAGTCTGCATTACTATTACTATCAATCTTCCCATCCTTCCTTTCACCCATCCACTTATGACTGTATGACTGTAACATTGCTTGTATCCTAACGATTTTTATTGTTTCCTATTATGATTTGATTGATTCTTGACTCTTGATGAATGTCTTTTCTTTTATGTACACTGAGAGTATATGCACCAAGACAAATTCCTTGTGTGGCCAATCACACTTGACCAATAAAGAATTCTATTCTATTCTATGTTTTTCTTTTGTCTTGGACTGTAAACATATAGTAAAAATTAACATTTTTGATTTTCCAAGGACATTTTTTGTGTGTGTTAAGAGGACTCAAAATTCCTAAAGAGAAAAGGAGATTATCTTGTCTTGGCCTAATCATGGGAGCAGGGGATTCCATAAATGGGATAGTAAAAAAATTAACACATTGGCCCTGACAGTGAAATTGAAGTTGCTCCAAGAAAAGAGGACAATCAGAAAAGGAAAAAGGCTGCACAAATGTTCTAACTCACCACAAATAAGAAGGAGAACAAGAATAGCTGGATGCCATCTCATTTTCCTGGAGTCGTTGGGAACACACTTGTTTTAATGGAGGAACCATTAGCAGGTATGCAGATAAAGATTAAAGTCTCAAACTCTTTCAATCTCTACTTTATTCTGCTTGCCAGGTGGCATCTTTGTTCAGACATATTGAAGGGAAAAGAGAAAATAGCATGGGAAGGATGAATGAAGAAGAGCCATCTCAATAGGCTAGGTCACAAGAGATGCTTGTGACATCATTGGGTGGCAAGATTCTTTCCAATATATTTCACTGAACAGAGCTAAATCCTTCCATTATATAACATAAATCAACCACTAGAGATAATCCTGACAATCTGTTGGCTATCCTGCATGAACTTTTAAGTGATTCCCTTGTGTTAGAACACAAAGCTCTCTATGTCAAATTAGGTTTTGCGTGCATACATTATATTGCTCGAGTATTATGGAAAACATTATCTAATCATCAGCATTGTAGTAAAATGCAGCTACTAATCCAGCTGGCTTCTCTGGGGAGGTTTCGGTTGTCTCTCTGTTTCATAGCTCTGAAAAGCTTTGGAGCCACTTATGGAAGAACCATGGAAGATGGTAATGTATGAATTTAATCTGTTTCAAATAGGAAATGATGGCTGTGTGTTTCCTTCACATTAACGGAGGCTTTATTTGGATCACACAATTACAATTTTAATGCAACCTCATTGTTAAAACCCACAAGGACAATCTTTAATTGGTTGCTGAGAGCCATTCATTTTCAAATGACTCAATTATGATACGTTCTTGTAACAAGGCATGAAAAATAAAAATATAAATGAAGGAAATAAGCATATTTCATTGCCAAAAGGAAGAAAACAAATGAGCTAAGTGGTAGCATTTATTGCATATAGAATGTTTGTTAGTTTCTAATATGAACATTAACTAGATCTCTCTCACTCTGATCTGTATAAGTTTGTAAAATCAGTGTCGCATTCTTACAATTGGTGTTAATGAAACTCAGAGTCCATGTGTCAATATGGGCATCCAGATACTTTTTTGTGGCTCACAATACTGTTTTTAGTCACCAAGACCCTATTCAGTTTAAGATTAATATTCCCAGAAAATCCTACATAAGATTGCCAAACAGTGGATCTGCAAGCACTTAAAAACAAACAAGATTATAATCAGAAGCCAGCCTATATGCATTAAAAACAAGTTGTGTCAGATAAATCTTACTGCTTTCTTTGACAATGCAACTAGTTTAGTGAATCAAGGAAATGGTCTGTAGGATATTTAGACTTCAGTCAAGTATGATAAAGTAGACCATGGGTATCAAACTCACGGCATCATGTTGCTGTCATGTAATGTATTGAGACTTTTTTCCCTTTCATGGAGCTGGGGTGGGCAATGTTTTGACACCCTTGAAGTAGACCATGACCAACTTCTTGATAAACTGGAACAATATGATCCCATTATGAGATGGATTCACAGTTGATTGAACAATTGTTTCCAGATATACAGTTCTTAATGGTTCTACATCCACATAGAGGGAGATATGCAGTGGGGTACCACAGAGTTCTATCCTGAGCTAGGTACTCTTTATTATATTCGTAAATGTCTTGGATGAAAAATAGGAAAGATGCTCATGAAATTTGTGGATGACACAATGCTTGGAGGCATTGCCAATACCTCAGAAGATTGGTTCAAGGTTCAAAATTATCTTAACAGATTTGAATATTGCGCCCTAACCAACAATATGTGGCTCAATAGTGAAAAATGTAAGGTTCTCTACTTAGGAAAAAACACGTACTCAAAACAGGTGGTACCTAGCTCAGCAGTAGTACTTGAAGGACTTGGTTGTCCTGGTAGATTAAACACGAGCTATCAGTATGCCACAACTGCTTGTATACCCATGCACTTTTGGAGTGAATCAACAGATATATTGTCAAGATCATGGGAAGATACTATTGCCTTATATTGCACTGCTCAAATTGCATCTTGTATACTGTGTCCGGTTCTGGTAAGCATCTCTACGAAGAGCATTTAAAGGAACTTGCTATGTTTAGTGTAAAAAAAAGAGAAGGCTTAAGTTTTCCAATGGATGCAGAGATGTCACAGGGCAGTGTGCGGATTTATTTTTTGTAGTGCACTGAGGGTACGTCAACAACTGGTGGGTGACAAACTTACAGGGAGAAATCCAAATGTGAAATAAGAAATTTCTTAACCATAACTATTCAGCTTGTTTAAGAGACATGGATGTGCCAGCAGTGGAGTTTTTCAAGCAATGTTTGAACACTGTTTGGGATGATATGAGGATTCTTCTACAGGGCATTTGATTTCAGGCTAGAAGACCTCCAAGGACCCTTCCAACCTTATGCTTTTAAAATACTTGTGCATTAATTGGCAAGCTGGCCATAGGAGGCAGTCCAGAAAGAAAAATGGTGGGACAGCTGCTCCCTTGGCCTCACCCAGCATGTCTTGACTCCAGTGGTGCCCAGTCGACCAGGACGCCAGTGTCCCAAGGTTCATCACACTGAATCGCTCTACCCTCAACACCTGTTCTTGTATACCTCCACAGGTGATGCTTCTGAAGCAGCCATCCTGGGTGAAAGGACGGCAGGGAGGAAAAGCCTGGAAAGGGAAGATGGGCAGATAAGCTGGAGCCATCCAAGGGGAAGGAAGGAAGAATATACATGAGAAATATGTAATTTCTGAACAGTGTTAACAAAAATATCCCAATTATGTAAACATTGAACCCAGAATCAATGCCAGGCTGCTAACGTGCGTACAAGGACGCTCTAGGCAAATCTGTCCAAAAATAAGACTGCACGCCGCGAGCATTAACCCTCGAGTACATTTATTTTCCCCGCAAAACCTATTCAAACTCAATGGAACTGAAATGCCGGCTGGATTCCAATTTGACAGGAGCGCAAACAAGACGAGCGAACCCGTCACAGCCTGGCGCACATAAGCCAGCCGGAAGCGGGCGTAAAGCGCGCGCTCTCTCTGGAGAAGGCGTCCTTCTTACTGCTGTCCTCTGATTGGTTACGCGTTGAGAGGCGGCAGGTTGGCTAGCCAATAGCCTTCGGCGCGCGTATTTAGGCGGAAAGTTCTAAAACCGGGCGGGGGTTGTTTTTGCGCAGCGGGGTCCCTCCCCCCACTTTTTTTTTTTGCCGGTCGCGAGGGTGAAGCCAGTGACGTCATCTCGAGGAGAGAGAAAGTGGATCGGAAAAAGCGCTTTGCGGTCAATTCGACGCCACTTCGCTTTTAGAGGGGCAGCAGCGACAATAAGGTAGGTGGATCCTGGGAAGTGAGAGAACTTTATATGAATCGGTGGTGGGCATGTGGGAAGTCAAATTCAGTTTCTCCCATAAATTTCACCCAGAAATTGCAAAAGAACTAGAAAACTTTCTTCAGTTTGTCTTTTCCAAAGCGTACAGGGGCTACTTCTCCCAAAATTCCCAGCCAATTTGAACTATCGTCGTCATCCTCAGCCATTCAGTCGTATCCGACCCTCGGACACGACTATACAGTAGGCTTTTTTAAACGTGCTATAATTTGACATTTATTGGGAGTCAGGCAGTGTATACATGTAATAGATTAAAGTGAATATATGTGTGTGTGTGTGTGTGTGTGTG